TTGTTGCAGCGAAAGTTGCCCTAGCCACACACAGAGGGAGAAAAAGAGAGAAGGAGAGCGAGGATATGCCTCTGTGGCCATCGTCATGATGCTGATAGTCAGCTCTTGGCCATAAATGTCGCTGGTTGCCATAAAAAACGTAGCAAATGCCAATCGCACATTGTCTTGGCCAACACTGCACAAGTGGTCGAAAAGGAAGTGAAGTAAATGCCAAAAACAGTGTTGGATAAAATTCAAAGATTTTCAAGCTGAGCAAATGGGCAAATAACATTTTATATGAAACTTGGTAAGCGCTTAAGTTTTGAAAGATGAAGAAAAAAACGCTTAGAAAAGTTCACACAATTTTCCTAAATATTTAAGAATCGAGAGCTTAAACTAAATTACGTAAATGCTAGAAAGACTCGGACAATTTTATTATAAAAATGAAAACCACTGAAAAGGTGAAGAAAAGAAGCTCGATCTACGCTTTGGGAACATTTATAGATAAAACTTATTCTAAAATTAAATTTTTTTAATTAATTTATGGAAAGAAGCTTGATTAAAAAGATGGTAGCTGCTAGATATACTTTATGGAAGCATATTTAGATAAAACGAATTTTGAAATTTCACGTATTTTAATTCATTTAAAGAAAAGAAGCTTTTCAAGTGAAGAACAACTTCTGGGTCTACTTTGTAGGGACATTTGTAGACAAAACGAAAACTAAACATCACATTTATTTATGCACGAGCACCCCTTCAGGTAGTCTAGTACACTCAGGGTATTGTTTATCTGCTGATTTCTCAACCTTGACCATTGTTAGACCGAGAAATATATATAATTGAAATAGACAAAGGCATTTTTGAAATACCAGACGCACAAATTACAGTAGAAGAAAATAAATTTAAACTAATTAAATTTAAGCACTGCGTCTAGAATGTTGAGGCTGTGTTATGTCTCAGTTTGTGGGATGTCTGTGTGCGTGTGTGTGTGTGTGCACCATAAATATGCCAAAATAACAATAGTCCATTCCTGTTGTCGTACCGCGCCCCCTGTACAACCAACACCCTGCTCTATACTGACAGGCAAATCTAATAAGCATAATGAATGAAGCAGCCGAGAGGCAACCAGCTGAGTTTCTGTTTTCGCTCAACGTGTTGAACTTGTGCTGTCACCTGTAAAGGCAATGACAACACAGACCCCCCAAGCCCCCTACCAACCTTCCCCCAACCCCCACACCCGCTTTGCTAGTCAATGAGTGTGGCCATGTGGCAAATACATATCTTGAAATTCACACCGCACTTTTGTCTGCTGCGAAATACTTTGCCTGTGTGTCTATTTAATTAATTTCTATATTAGATACACTTCATTAAAAATGTTTCAGATATGTTTTTGACCATTGTTATATATTTCTTCTATTGTTGCATTTCGTTTCCTTTTGTTTATTTTCATGTTAGCTCGGGGAATACGTTGATTGAGCGGCACAAATGTGTGACACCAAAAGAAAAACAACTTGTATCTTGTGTATCTATAAGATACATGCATGCCACTCGCTGTTGAGGCTCAATGCCTGCTTAATGGCTTGTAAGTGATCTATGGGCTTGGTTTTCGAGGGGGCGGTGGGGGAACAGCGTTAACCAAACGGATTACATAATTCATCATCAAATTCCCCAAAACAAGTGACACTTGCACCGTTGGCCTCCTTGAAAAAGGCTTCAGCTCGTCGCCTCTTGTCAGCTAGAGCTGCCCCTCCTCTGCTCCTTCCCCGTGCTATGCCAGCAATTAACGCACTTTGAGCTACATAAACTGGGTCAAGTATGTGGCTGCCAACAGGAGGCGCTGCGGTGGGCTGACTGAAGTTTTTGAAGTGCTTGGCACTTCGTAGTCGTCTAATGAAATGCATTTCAGTTCTCATTAGGCGGGCCATTTTGTGATTTAAACATGAAAGGTACAACACTTGGCGAAGGCTTTGTGTGTATATAAGAAGGTACAGTTATGCTAAAATCTGGCTAGACCATTAATGGGTCGCAAATGTAACGCATTGATAGCGTAAATTCTAATATGCTAAGGAGACTTTGACAGACTTTTTCATTTCCAACAAGTTTGTCAACGCTTTTCTGTTTATAGATTTTTTATTTTCATTTTCCTAAAACCCTTCTCCATAAATCTATTCGAATTTGAATTCCCACATTCATAAATTGTTCAATGTAAATCAAGTCGGCAGCCGTGCTTTAATCCTTGACTCTTACCCAGACCTAAGTACACAATCCCTTAATCTCAGTATATGTTTTTTATGCGTGATGGCAACACTTACACACACATATAAACTGCGAGTCATCATAGAACCTGCTGGCAATACTGGCACACGCAAAGTGAAAACAATTTTCTTGCATAAAGTAAAATAACCTGCTGTTAAAGTGCTTTTCTTTTGTGTTCTGTAACAGCATTATGCACACCTTTGACCTCTACGAACTCCTAGATGTGCACCCTTCTGCTCTTGCTATATTTATACCTTTGCCTAAACCCAGTCTGTGATAATTTTATTTTACAATTAAAAAGGCATTTTTTCAGTTTTATGTTTTATTTTGTTTATAGAACTTGTAATGCGCTGGCACTTAATGCAATTTTGATGTTTTTGCGTCACCTGCTGTTGATTTTCAACAAAAAGAAAAATTAAAATAAAACTTTGCATTTGCAATTGTGGTTAAAGTTTCCTGCGTTGCTTTTCTTGCTGTTCGTTTTTTATGCCTTTGGCCATTGCAAATTTTCCTGCAGCATTTTACAAATGCGTTGGCTGCCATCTCTTTCCCTGCCTGACTCTCTCTCACTCTCTCGCTCTCTAGCATTTTTGGCGCTTGCCACAATGCCCACGTTCCACACTCACACTCATACGCACATGTCGAGTCATTCTCTCTGTGCACTGTTCCATGCCATGGACCTTTAAAAGGGGCGGCAACACCCATCTGTTGGGCATGGTTAAAGCTTTTTGGCAGCAGCAACAACCTTCTGCAACTTTGCTTTGTCATGTGCAATATTTCTTTCTTGACTGCCAACCGCTCTGGCAAAGTGTCTTTTTGTTTAAGGAACTCGATCCCGAACTCGCAACTCGACGTGAGCCATAGAAAACTATTAAAATGGGCAAAAGCATTTAAGCAAAAAGCATTCAAAATTAGTTCCAAAGGAAGTTGGCTGCACAAAAAAAAAGGAAGAGGTTTCTTTTTGATGTGCATATTATGCTTCATAGTTCCTAAATTTACGCAAAAGGGCATTTTCAAAGTTTCAAGTAAAAACATCTAAATTGTCGGTGAGAACATCTGCCCTGTGCTCAAAAGATCTTCATTAAGTAGACAGAAATATATTTAGAAAGATTTTTGTAAAATATTTATTTCTGGTAAAGAAACAATAAGAATTATCTAATGTAATTAAATTTATAAATAAAAAACTTTCCTTTGAAGTAATGTTGAACGATCTAAAATCAGTACACCGATATATTTCAGTGTGTATCTGGTGTAAAATTCAAAACTTGTCAAAAACTATCATAAAAATATAAATTCGTTGGCTTTCTGAACTATTTTTCTCATTAAAAACAAATACCAGCATGGTAACACTGTTTTCATATAAAATCATGGAGCAGTATAACCGTTAGAAGCTTACCTTGACAGTACTTTTAATATACCAACATTAATTAAGAGCACACGACCTTCGATTATCGATAAGCCAAAAGGAAAATAAATAAATATCATCTGTACCCGATAATGCGATAACAATAGCAGGCCTTGCCACATTTTTGGTACATCGAGAAATGGACGAGAAAACTGAATCATAATTTCCTGAATGGTAACCGAGCAGGCTGTGAAAATTTTGGAAACCTATAGAACATAGCCAGTGTCAATTCATTCGTCAGTGGGACGGCTTACTGAATAGAGTTCCTTCAAGTCATCTCGGCAATACAAAAATAAAAATAAATTAAATAACAAAAGAAACAAACATATAATAAGTAAAATTAAATCTAAGAAATTTTCTATCAACTTATCTACTGTCTGTCTCTCGTGCTTCTGTGTACATGTGCGCGCGTGTTGCTCGGTTTCTCCCGCTAATCGCAAATCTTTCAATTTGGCAATCGACAAGTGAATAATTTTCCGCAAGAGTGTGTGTGTGTGTTTAAAAAGCAAAGAAAACTGCGCGTGTGTGTGTGTGTGAGCGCGCGTGCTGAAGAGCTGCTGTCTGGTTGGCAATTGTAACCTTTAACCATTTATTGTTACGTAATGGATAACTTGAAGGCAAATACAACGGGCGCGTATTTGTGGCATCCGCCGCAGCAGCAGCAGCCGCAGTCGCCATTGATGCAACAATCTTCGGTGCCGCCGCCGCCGCAACAGCCGCCGCCGCCGTTGCTAAGCGGCCTGCCACAGCCCGTCCGGCGATTTGCCAGTAACAAGAACAATTATAATTATATGCAAAGTCAGGCCCAAGCGGCTGCTGGCCTCATGATGGGCGCCAGTAATCCGGGCGGTCAGTTAATGGGTCTCGGTTCGCCCAATCCCAATGGCTATCGCAAGCGCCAACCAATGAACACGGCCTATAGCCCGGGCGGCTTTCAACATAATGGTAAGGGAGTTGCCATCTTTCTTAGTAATTTTTCATATGCGAAAGTTTGTAAACGATGCTGCAGAAAGAGTAAATTAAAAGCTGTTGAAAAAATGTCAAACACACAATAGTTGTCACACTGGGCACTTGCAGTGTTGACAACTGCAAAACGTGCGCGTGTGCAGTGCTGTAAAGCATTTTTATATTTTACTTTAAATTTAAAATTCCCTCTCTGTGCGCCCAATTTACAACATTTGTCGCTAAACACATTGAATAGCTATTCAAATTGAATTCTTGTACTTACTACTCTCACTGTTTGAATGGTGTCTTCCTTTACTATATATATATATAAACGATATCTTATCAATTTTCAAACTCTTGAGCAAAATGACTAAACGATATTTTCTTTCTTTCCACTTTTCTTTTCTCATTGCAGGTAAGTCGCTGTTTTCTATTCCCGAAAATGTTGTTGTGCTTGAGAGCCGTAAGTACATTTCAAAACTAAACCACAATTTTATAACATTGCATATATATAAATACATACATCCCACACTCTATACACAATATACTTAAAACACACCAAATGCCAGAAGACGTTTGTGAAGTTCCATTAAATGCCAATTAATTACTTAGCTCCAATAAAGAAAAAATTCCAAAAAAAGATCAAAAGCCTGCCAGCATACAAAATTATTGCATTTTTGCATTTTGTGGAAAAACTTTTCTGCTCAATTTATCAATTTTCATTGCATTGCAATTTTAAGTAATCTTTTGTTTGTCTTGTCTAGAATTTTCAATTGCAGTTTCGACGTTTCTTGACTTTTATAAAATTTCTATATAACGTTCATGACGCCATCAATTTTTAATTTTTATAATTTTCGTTTTGTCCGCTTTGCCTGTTGCAATTTGCATAATATTCAATGCACACTCAATTTTCATAGGGGGAAAATTCAAATGGACAAACATCATTTGGTAGAGTATCGATTAGTTGGGGTGAGATAACGGACGTGCCTGGGTAATAGAATTTTAGCTTTATGGACATATTACCTTTTATTTGCATTGCGAATATTCCGCTTGTTACGGGGCTGGGAGCTACATTTTTGTTCTTAATTTATATATCGCAATCAATTCCAAGTCTTGGAAGCAAGGCGTACTGCATTTCATATTCCAATAAAAATCCCTAAGTGAAAATTTCCCACTGAAATAAATATATGTTTTAAAATAAAAAAAAAAAACTTATATTCCATTTAATAATAATCCAAAGATTCTTTATACTTTTTTCTAATAAGAATCCCTCATGGAGAATTCCCCAGACATATTTTGCTCAACTAACAAATATCCACAATTTTCTTAATAGGCCGCAACAAAATTTTACGCCCAACTCGTCAGAGTATGTCATAAAAATATGAAATGGCCATTTAAATAATAACACGAGCACACGCACGTACACACACACACGCGCGCGCAGGCACAACCAACGCACACGCACGTTGCCAACATATTTGCACCATAATTAAAATAAATGTTTTCAATGCTCAATAATTGCCAAATAAATTAATTTTAATTGCAAGACTGAGAAAATGCCCCTAAAAATAAATAGCTAAAATCTTGCGCTTGCTCTGGCGTTCGCTCTGCCCTCTCACTCTTTCTCCATCTCTTTATGTCTCGCTCTGCCTCACTTGTGTTTATTTTAGGACAGCATTTTTTGTTCCGATTTTAGCTGGCCAATACGATGGCTTGGTCACGCCTCCAAGCCAAATGTCGCAGGTGGCAAGATGGCAAAACAAAAATATAATCTATACATCTATAAAAGAAGAAAACACTTAAAAATACATAAAAATACCAATGGGCCATATCTGTGGGCGTTCGAGGGGAGGAATGTTAATATTTTGGCATATTTATGACTGTGCCACCGTGTGAAGATTTCTCGTCAGTTGTTGATGGCTTTTCCGAAAAGGGATCAACATCAAAACCACTCGCAAGATTTATGCGTGTGTTCATTAAAAGCAGCAGCAGACGCTGTCAACCCTGACCCAAGCAACACCCGCCCCCTCTCCCTCTGGTCCATCTTTCCTGTGCCCCTGTCACATACATGTAAATTAAATGCGCGACTTTATTTGCTTTTCGGCAGTCGGTCGCCCAGGCTTGTGTGTCGGGCCTTATCAGTGGCAGAGAGAGCCGAAAAGCCAAAGTTGAATTGTGTTTGTTTATCTTGCGCCCGCTCGCCTGTGCGCAGCTGTTGACCCAGCACAAAAAAAAAATATATATATATATATATACGTATTTGTTCATATTTTTTTGCGCCCAACTTTGCTTAATTTAATACGTAGGTGTGAAGTTGTTTGCCGTTAGTTCTCTAGTGGTCGCCCCGCCCACTCTTTAACCGTCCACTCGAATCTGCCTCTATTTGCCTTCTGGCTTGTTTTGTGGCTTACTTTTGCTGATTGGCAGCGTGTGTCCGTTTTTTTTTCTGGTTCGTTCTCTTCCCAATTATGTTTTTCCTGTACATGTTTATTTTTTTCACCCCTGCTATTCATATTTGCTTACGTAATGCAATAGTTATTTCATTAAGAGGCGCAGCTGAAATTAATTGAATTAACTTTGGAGTGGGCGAGCTTTTCTTTATATAAATAAACCTTTGAAACCCCTTTGAGCGTTGCTTTTTAGTTAATTAGTATATAAACCAAGAGCTTTCCGAACTCATCTATATCTGAAATAATTTATAGGACAATTCCTATTGAATTTTCTAATTATATACATATGTCAACCTCAAACTTGATCTATCTGTCCTATTATGCTTTACAATTTTACCTCTACAGATTCCTAAATTTATATCCACAATTCCTAGATTAGATTTAACCTTTACTCCAATGTCCATTCGTACTCGCTTCTCGCAAAAATTAAACCCAAAAAAGTACGATACCACGCTGTTGGGAACCTGTCGCTCGTAAATCATTTGCTATCCAGCAAAAACTCTCACAATAAATTAATTCATAGTGAAATACCAAAAGCAACAATAACAAGGAAACAACCACAACAGAAACATTTAACAAATTTGGATAGCCGCAGTTGTATAGAATAAGGGAACCCAAAGCATATATGTATAAAATACATATATAAATTGTGGCGCTTGAATTTTATGGTAATTCAATAAAATTGAAAATGACAAATTGTGTCATGTTGCGGTCATTTCAATGCGCCTGGAGCAACCACTAACCAAATGGGGGAGAGATGGGCTCTGGTAATGCAAGTGGACAGGCCCATAATTAAATCCATATTGATAAAACAATAAAAGTTGGCAATGCGTAATGGCTTTAAAGTTGAGCCTCTGTCTCCCTCTCCCCTCTCTGTCCCACATCAATCAATCAAATGCGATCAATCAAAGTGTTGTCAACAAGCAGCAGCAGGAGCTCACGCATCCGACTGATGATGTTGTTGCTGTTGCTGCTGCTGCCGCCGCCGCTGCCTGTCGCTAGATGGCGTGTCGAACAAGAAGAATGTCGCGCTGTCATCGCCTGACCAACTTTTCGACTCACCCGCGCCGCTCCCCGCCACCCCTCTCTTTGCCGTAACACTAACGAGCCCTAATGGGCAATAACCTCCCTACCTCGCCCCATCTCAAGATGTTAGAATGAAACTATTGAACCAAAAATATTGTTCCAAGTGACTTACAAGGCGTGTGGAAGGGGAGGGGGCACAACTGAAGCTGGGGCCAGCACGCAATATGGCGTCGATTATCTTAAATCAGATGCACGTGATTGATGACTGATGCAACCGGACCGTACAACAAATAATATCATGTCTAATACTACGCTTATTTTAAACTAACCCCAAGTATTTGGCGAAAATAACTCAATGCGAGCAATTCATCAGCGTCAAGCGGGGCACTAGGAGGGACAGAGAGTACATTCAAAATTTTGGGCTATCGATTTAATTTAATTATTGAAAAATGGAAATTACGGTATTAAGCAAATTTTAAAACCAAATAGGAAATATTGGATTGAAAAGCAAATAAATAGTTGAGCTCTTCGCAGAAATCGTTTATTTACAGAAATTTCTCTATGAACTTAACAGTATTATCTCCTTCATTTTCAGTAGGTAAATCATTTTGAAAACATATAAATTTAGAGCCATTTTGCTCTTGCTTTCTTTCCCGTCTCTCTCCGTCGATTAATTAAGTAATTTTCTTTCTCGCACTCCCTCGCCCCCGCTCACTCGATATTGCTACATCAATATCTCATCTTCCACTTCATTTACATACAAATTGTTGCCTAAATGTTGCGCATAATCAACAATTTGCACAGCATCTACTCCCTCTGATTCCAACCTGTGCATAGCTCGAAAGTAATTGACCACATGTACCCACTGTGCAGCAGCTACTCCACTTGCCCCAACCCTCACCCTCACCCCTACGCCTCTTTGCCTAGCTGTTGCTGCTGCTGCTGCCGCTATGTGTTGCTAATGATTTTCCTTAATGTTCCATTTCATAATTTCATGAGGCAAAATACAAGGCACGCGCCCACCCTTCGAACGCGCCCCCCGCATCTTCCAGTCTCGTGGTCACATTTGCTTAATTTATGCCAACAGCGGCTGCTGTAGCATCTCTTTTTCCTCTTCTTGCTCACTTTGCTACTTCTAATAATTTGTAATTAATTTTCACAGCTGGCCTGAGCAACAAAAAATGCACTAGATTTAGTTTAAGCAACAATTTGTTTTCTCCCATCTGCTTTTTTTTCGAGGCAATTAATTTTGCATTTAACTAATGCGTTTGACATTTTACAAAAGTTGCCACTTGCAACGAGCTGGCGGCTGCCACAGCCACTGCTGCAGCCAGCGCTAGTTCACAAATTACAATATCAAAATTGTCCATCAATTTCTCCCTCTGCTTTTTGTAGCCAAGGCGCATGCTAATGCCAAAAGGCATTATCGATTTTCGCTTTCACATCTGCCCACTTATCAGGCTACAAAAAAATCCAATAAAACGGCAACTTAATCAAATCGAACCGAGGACCCAACTAAGTAACCAAAACGAATTGTCGCCCAATTTTGGACCGTTGCTGCGCAATTTGTTTAATAAATAAAACAATATTTGCCTACAGTATGCACTCGTTAAGTTCAATAGGTTGTGCATTATAAGGAAGCTTTCAGTTCTTATATCTAAATTTAGTTGAGGGTACTTTTCAATTGCAAATTTTGGTATGCAACACTTTACAAACGAGTTTGTGCGAGCTTTCAACAACGCTAGAACAGCCTGTGAATTACAAGCGAAAGCAAGATTTTAATTTTTTGCAGTTGCACTAAACAGCCGTTGAATAAAAATCTTTTTAGTAAAGTTTTCAATGGCTTAGACATGCCATTCTTAAAGTATCTCCACTATACTATATTAAATATTACAAATCTAGTCGGTTTTCTTAGCACAGTATTCACTGTATTTTTTATTGAAAGCACAAATGACGATCCATTAAGTAGCAAAAACAAACAGCTGAA